CCATGTGTTCAAGGCTTGTCTTGATAATTTTCCATGTAGGAAATTGTGATATAATGACATTTAAGAAATTTGAATATACTTTCTAGAATTACACACACACAAAAAAAAGATCATATTATTTATTTTACAAGATTTTTTTCCTTTCTGCAAGATTTAGGCCCAAGTATGGATCACATTCCCAATAAAAAAAACATTATATTTTTCTTTATGAAATAGCATCAAATTGTCTGAAATTGATTAATTATTAAAAAATCTGAACGATATTGTCCAATGTACAATTTGTTGACAGCTAGGCCTGGGTCCAGATGGAGTTTGCATTATTTTTTTCTTCAGCAAAGTATGTGAGGTACTTGGGATGGAAATTAACCTACAAATTCTGATCCAGTTAGAATATATTTTTGTTTAGTAATTATTTTTTTCTGATTTGAGATCTTGTCACACCCTATTCACAAATTTCAGGCATGGACAAAATTCCTAAAGTTGTGAAAAAAGGCCTTGTTATGTGAAAGCATTATATTCTGGTAATTAAAAATACAAATTATATAGGTGTAGTATTATGCGATATCATGTTGGGCACAGTTATTCCCTTTGTCACAAATTCCTGTGACTAAAATAGAAACCTAGTCTGTTTGAAACAGTGAGTTTGAGATCATCAAACTTAATATGAACAGTAAAAAAATGTATGAAACTTGAGAATTTTTCCTCTAAAAAATGAATTGAGATTAATAACAGAAAGTGTTTCCTGAAAGACTTGGCTCTTCTTAAATCATCACTAAGGAAAAGCATTGAATTTAGGAGTGTATTGTGTTGAAAGCAAGCACTAAGATCCATGATTATTTACAATGATTTGTATAGCACACTAAATATTTTCAACTGAGGGTCCTGTAGCATGTTTTTCATTAGACGATATTACTGTATGTTATTGTTATTCATGTTTTTTTCAATAAGTACACAATACCAGATATTTCCTTTTTGTAAGTAGAAGTGTGTAAAAGATGCTAAGATCTACTGTGACAAAAGCCACCCAAACCTCATCCTGAATGTGGTATTGTTATCAGTTTGATGCAGTAGAATAATGATTTAACATAACAAGGCATTTGGGATACTTTTCCTGGAAATATTAAAGAAGTCAGAGTTAATGGTAGTGATTGACTTTGAAGATTGGAAAAGGCTGTAGATTTTCTCTCATTACCACGTGTTGAAAGCCTCTGTGTGAACTTCTCTGTTCCCAACCAATCATTATTCAACTCTCACACTGATTCCATTATTATGAAGAACTCGCGTTCAGAAGAACGACTTTCTTTTCTTAATCTTTTGACATTGTCGTGATCTTTGATACATTCCATTAAAGCTTTCATATGACCATGATTGAAAATCTTGTACACGTCAACGTTTTTAAATCAGTAACATGTCTCAAGGGAGTTTCCATTCCATCTCGCTGGTCATTTTCAACAAACCCCTGTTTCTGTTAGCAAGAGGTCAGTGAATACAATTCCTTTCACCTGAACAAGTCCACACGCGGTTTCTGCATCCTTTCATTGCTGACAAAGACCTCAGAGAAACTGCTCTTTCTGTGAGGTATAATCACGAGGGAGTTTGGTAAAGGGCACGTCTGAAAGACCAACTCAAAGACGCAGTGTTCCTTGAACAATGTCTCCTAGAATGAATTAGCCATAATGAAAATTACAGTCCTAGTCTTGTGGTTATGTGGAGAAAGCTGGTGTGAGAAAAGGTGTTTATACGATCATGTAAATGGCTTGCACTTCACGAAAAGGAGAATGAACAAGGAGAATATTACTTAAATTGACAGAACTTGTCTGAAACTGATTTCTCAATAAAATGCTTATAAGATTTAATTAAAATTTTCTGATAGTGTAATCCAAAAATGTGATTAATGATGATGTTTACTAAACCTTTATTAATGAGTTGTACATTCAGATTTAGTCATTTCAAGGTCATTAAACCTGTGTTTCGTTTGACTTATATGAGATTCTCGTAAGAAAATATTGTAGAATAAAACATTTCAGTTTTTATTTATATTTTGTGATAAATGTATAGAAAGTTGTTAGACACATATAGGTATATATGATAACAGTGGCCTAAAATCAACATAATGATAAAATTTGTCATGAAATATGACATCAGTATCAAATCTCAACCTTTTCTGTAGTTGTGAAACATTCCTGTCCGATTCTGTCCTAAATCAATGCCTTTGTTTTAACATTTTTATTTCGAACAGCTTTTTAGGTCACAAGAGATGAAGTTTCAAGTGACCTATTGAGAATGCCATTTGTCCTTTGTCCATTATAAACATTTTGTATTTTTGAATAATTCTCAAAAACCAAAAAGCTCAAGGTTTCAATATTAGTTCTATAGCATGCTGGGATGAAGGACTGGCGAGTTTGATCAAAGGAATGACCTTTACCCAACTTCAAGGGCACAGGGGTTAAATGTGTTAAAATCTCTAAACAACTTCTCAGTATTCATTCTCAGTATTCAAAAGGCCCAGGGTGCTGATATTTGGTCTCTGGCATACTTGGAAAAAGGGCTATCTGTCCAAATGAAAGACCTTGACCTACTTCCAAGGTCAAATGTTAAAATTTTCAAACTGCTTCTTCTTAATAACCAAAGGCACAGGGTATTGGTATTGATTCTGTAGCATAAATGGATGAAAGGTTACCAATTTTGTTCCAATGATTGACCTTGACCCACTTTCAAGGTTACTGGGGTCAGATGTCTTGAGACCTTCAAAAAGGTTTTTGTTAAAACTTCAAGCAAAGATCAAATAATAGAATATAAACTTATTTTTATGACATTTATGAAACGTTATTTCAGCTTATATCAGTGTGTGTGTGTAGGAGGGGGGTCTTACTGTGGGAGAAAACCAGAGTACCGGGTGAAAACCGATGTAATCGGGCAGTGACTCTTATACCCTTTTAACATCAGTTTGGAGAATCAAAACATGGATGTTTGGGTGAAAGTATATTACACTGTGCCAGCCTGTCAAGTCACTGTTACATTTTACTAGTTTAAGAAATATGTCAAGCCATGATATTGACATGTATTAGAGGAATCTTCTCAAGTCTTTCATTGTTTCATTCATTATTTGTTTATGATTTAGCTATTAGTTATTTTGTCATTCAACAATTGTACCAAATATTATCATTAAAATAGCTTTAATGATTCACCTTAATCATGGAAATATTGCTTTATTTGTCTTAAAAAATTGCCCTGTAATTTAGCATTTTAAAGATATTATGGCATAAAGCATGATAGAGTCACCGACAAAAGGCATCAAATTTTCAAGCTTTCTTCAGTTTTCGAAAAAAAATCTCTAAATAAACGTTTTTGCGTCCCACCATTACAAGTGGCATGATATTTAAAAAAAGATAAAGATGTTTTCCTACCTGAATGTGTTTTAAAACTGAAGTGTCCAAACTTGGAGAACATACAAAATGAGAAGCAGCCAAACTTCTCAGACAATCTTCTTGACAGAAATGTAAGTAGAAAAAAATCAATGGATTATGATAGGTGAGTCACATGTGGCTGTTTTTTAAACGCAACATTTACAATAAAATCTCCAATATATTCTTTTGACAAGACAATTTTTTTTATTATCTATGAATTTTTTGTGACCAGACATTTAAATGTTTGAATCAAACTATAGGTATTACCTATATATGTATACCTATCATATTTAAATAAAAAATTAAAACTTATCTACAATGACACAAGTTGTATTACTGCATGCCTGACAACAAAATTTAGACATGTGCTACAATTTTTATACACTACATCATGTGATGGATGCAGGCAAGCTTGTCCAACTAGGAAAAATACCAGTTTATCAATAGGGCCTAAATATATGTTTGCATTCCAAGATGTCACAGATAAATTCCAACCACATCTCACGGAGTGTGATCATCCCTGTGCACCAAATAATGATTTTTTACAACTCTCCATAACAAATTTTTTACATGTACAAAAGACAAAAACACATTTGTTTGAAAAAAATAACAGTCCACTTTCTGCTTTATTTTTTGGAAAAAAGCAGGAGAGCCAGACATATAATTGATTTTATGTGTTTGAATCTCAATTTGAATGGCTGTAAATTTTGAAGATTCTATATCTCTTTTTGAATGCTCATAGGTACATTTGTCCCTGAATCCATGCATTGACACTTTGTAACAAAAGACTTTACCTGCTGTAGTGATTGAGACTAGTGGATGTGACCAATGAATATGACCATAGCAATGTGACCAGAAATTTAACCTGTAATGTGACCAGTGATGTGACCTGTAATGTGACTGGTCATGTGACCTGTTATGCGACCGGTCATGTGACCTGCATTGTGACCTGTAATGTGACCTGTATTTTGACCAGTATTGTGACCAGTATGACTCATATTGTATGACCAATAAATGTGACTGGTGATGTCACCTTGTTACACCTGGACAAATTGCTAATTTGGTGTTGTGTATTCTATGGTTTATGATTTTGATTATTTCCATGTTTTCGAAATAAATTGTGACTTTTACTTATCTAATGTACAAAGAAACCAAATGTTGGTTGTGATTTCATCATATTGTATGGTCAATAACCTCATTGTGTGACTTTCTCTTACTATCCCTTCGTGGTGACCATGGGGGGGGGGGGTGATGCAGTGTTAGATTCATATCTTTATGTATACATAGGTTCAATTTTTGTTGTCACTCTAGCAACTTCATTTCTTAACTGATTTCATCAAACTTCAAATTTTGGTCAAGTATCATAATACCTTACCTCATTAATTTATAATTTTTCATTTTCAGGTTTTTTTAAATCTTGTAACCTCTCTGTACTTCAAAGACTTGTATAAGTCATCAATTCAGAGACACTCTGTCCAGTCCCTGTGATACTTACATGTCAGTCATTTTATATTCAGTCATGCATTCACCTCTTACTTAAGTTGACATCTCAGACTCCCAGTGATAAATCTTTTTTTTTTGTTATTTTGACAGATACAAGAATTTTAAGTCCTCACGTGGTGGAAACTTTGGTCCTAAGATTCCAGACCTGGAACAAATACAGACGTTGGCTTAATGAAGTGGTTAGTAGGTTTGGAAAATTGTACCTGAATCAGTATGAGACATGAGATGTACAGAGATGAGACAGGTGAAGGGAGAGTGATTTTGTGTAGCTAAATGAGAGGCCTTAATGAGGGACTTGAAAAACCAGGAGTGACATACTTACATCTTAAAGATTAGGCAGAATGGTTCAGATGTAGGACAGATAATATAGATCTTGCTAATTGTTCATTTGTTTTCTGGATGTATTACCCCGCGAAAAGCCAGGATAATTTAAAGATGAGATCGCCTTTTGAAGCTGATGACTCTCTGACTGAACAACATGCAGGAGGTCCACTAGGTGCTATTCGAAGCAATTGAAATAAGGTGTTGTCTTTGCCTGAGCACACAACCTTGAAAAAACATTAGGATGCAGAGATTTCGTTGAACAGCCTCCATCCTTCATACTCCAAGGTTACAATCGTTTTTTACTCTCTGCACCCCTGGAACATGTCATGGCAAAATCGAAGGTTCCATGTGTGACACCTGGTGGACATGATGAAAAGACTAGTTTAATCCTTTGATGTAGGTTGCATAACACTATATTGTAATCTTCAAAAGTAGTGTATCAGTCTGTGATTGGTTAGATTTTTTCCTCCTTGAACCAATCAAATTCCTTTGCTGGTACATTCAATTTTGCCATGACATATCCCAGGGTTATAGAAAGTGAAAGTGATCATAATCCCTGTAGGATCGAGGATGAACAACAATCCACAATGTCCTCAACATACTTTTGTATTTATACATGTCAGGATTTACAGTGTAACAAATATACTCACATTTACAAACAGTATTTTCATTGATAATCTGTTTTTATTTGAGCTTGTTGTAATTATACTGGACTGTGGTACATAAAGTCAAATTGTTAAATGATCATTGTTTTACAGTTAATTCAAGGGGCATAATCTTGTACTGGAGGTCAGGGAATGGGTTTTTAACAGGGCAGTGTTATTTTTTTTGAACAGCAGAAAATAAATAGGGGTGGGCTTATTACCATTAAAGGTTTATTGCTGGATTGATAAATTAAGGTTATTGCAACAAAAATTTAAGTGATCGATAAAGTAATATTATTGTTAAAGTATCTGTCTCTTAAATAACTTATAGAAAAGCTGTATGATAAATGAAGTACTGAAAGTGGTGTCAGAAGTGTGTCTTCTGTACCAACCTTTTAACGTATGTATCTGCTTACAGTGTCATACAGTGAAATTTGTATTTTGTATGTTGTACTTTTATTATATTTTGGGAAATGATCACACAGTAAAGACATTAATCCTTAAATTAAGGTCACATTGTAATTTGCAGATTTACTTCTTCATTAAATTCAAGTTCTTTATCCACTGTAAAATTAGTTTGTTCTTCTTAGAGAGCATGATTTTACTCACTTGTATTGACTGAGACTGATGGGGGTTATTGTTGATGAGAGGACGCTGACTCTTCTGAAACACCTGGTCTCAATCTATGTATTTTTTCAGTAGTCTCGGTATAAATACTTCTTTTGTTCTTATTTTGCCATGATTTTCATGAAATTGAGTTTGGATTGTGATTCTGTTGACATGTTGGTATTTTCTTGTTGTTTTTATTATGCAACAAGCAAATGCCATTTAGTTTCAAAACGAGGACATTTCATCTATAAATAGTCATGTCATATTTTTTGTTTTTGATGAGCAAGGAAATATTAATACATATTATAACATTTTATCAGTTGAAATTTTGATTATTATATATGGTTTTTCTGTAAAGGATCTTTTGATACACGAATGAAAAATCTAATGGTATCCGTACAATTTACTTACTAAGATGTAACACTACATTAGTCATTAAATCCGAGCAATAATTAACAAACTTTCCTGGAAGGCCTAGTGTTTATTCAGTCTGTTTGCCAGTTCAATCTTTGTAAGTATTCCATAGCACAAAATAACAAAATATCAGACGCTAGTGTTCGGATAGAAAATCTGAATAATTTCTTGTGTGATATTTGTCATCATGAATGAGAGGAAAAAATGTCATCGTGTAGAGATGATAAAGTCAATTGTGCAGAATCTTTTGTCAGTATGATTTTAAACAAGTTTGAATTTTGTATGAGATTTATGAAATTTAAGAAGTTTAAGAATTAATGTGACTTTTTTGTGTGATTAACTGAGATTCTATGGAATGAAAACTTCTGTGTGCCATATGATGATATTAATATGCAAACAAATTATTCTGAACTCAAGGATGTTGTGATGTTAATATTCCAGGTAAAAAGCCATATATATTCAGAATTTAAGTTTCAGAATTAGGGAGTGAATGGTTCTTATTTTCTGGAGTAATAACAGTATAAACAGACATGATTAAAATAAAAATTGCTTGCCCAAATGTTGATTTTTCTGTACTTTTACAGCAGGGAGTCATATCCAACCAGGGGATACTTTTTAAAAATATCAGTTTGGACTTTCCCATAGTTTTTAGTTGCCAATTTAACAAATTGAATGTAGTGAGATTATATGAAGAAGTTGTGAAATAATTTGGTCATAGGATAGAGATATCCTTTAACGTCCATGTTTATATGACCTTAAAAACATATTTTGATCTTCAGTAAAACTGGCATTAAATTATCTTTCAATTGCCCTGAACCACCAACCCAATTATGTAAGGATATGTGTTGATTCTCTGGGGCTTGTTAAATATGGTATTTCTTTCAACTGAGTAAGTTATTTTTCAAATGTTACAAAAGAAAAAGAGCTTTGGAGAGAGTTTTTGTAACTTTTATAACAAGAGTGACAGAAATGACATAGATAACAACCAGAAGCTTGTGTGACTTTTTTCTACCACGTTAAAAAAAACTATTCCGAAGCTGAATTGACTTCCGAAGTTGAAATGACCAGTTCTGTATCCATGTGTACGTCATCAGTCGGGGTGTAATGATGTGTCTTTCGGAGAAACACTGCTAATTATTATTTCAGAAATACTGGGAAATATTTTAACTAATTACAAATTATCACTTGAAATAAATTAGTTTTTATATTCTAAGGAAAAAATGATCCAAATAAAAGTCAAAGTATCACAAATTCATCCATGAACTTATTGTACATTATAATTTCTGTTAGTGGGTGAAGCACACTCTCAATGAAAATTTACCCTGTCTTGTCAATCAAAACATGTTAGATTATTACACTACATTAGAAGGTGTATGGTTAATGCTTCAAGGGTTGAATAATACCCTGCTATTGTAGTAGAAATCTGGTAAACTGGACAAACAGAATCCTCTCTATTTCATATTACTTCGTAAATCATTTGTTTATTGAAGTCAGTGATCAGTACTCTATCCTAGAAAGCTATCACTGGAGTTAATCTTACATTTGTTTTTATCCTTTTGTCATTGGGGCAATGATAAGGGTGGGTGAATACTTGATACTAACGTGACAATGTGTTTTAAGGCAGAATACTTTAAAATGATTTTGTTTAGTTGAAATTTCCTGGTTTTACAAAAGTTTGGCTTTGTCTTTGGCACCTGATTTTAATGAGAAGTTTTGTTCTCAAAATCCACGCGTTCTATTATCCATGATAATTTCCTGGACATAGAAGTTTAAGGATTTAGAGTCAGCACAAATTCAATGAAAATAAAATCATCATGAAGATTAATGTTTTTATAGTCAGCAATGTTCAAATATTTCTTATCTAAGACAGTGTATGTTTATGTATACAATATCCACTAAGTCTTACTACAGGGTAAACAAAACATTACATTATTCTTCTCTATATATATTACTTGTTATTTTTTTTAATATTTTTTCATAACTGAAAAATATTTCATTCCTTTCCATAGTTTTGCGTACAAAGCCATTATCAAATACAGTGTTTTTCAAACATTGATATTTCCCCAACAATCCATTTTGTCATTATATTTTTTTAAATGACAGTTATCCCCAAATGTTGTTTGACTTCATAAATTCAATTTACACTGAAAAATTGTGTTAAGGTGTGAATGTCGTAGGCTTCATAACAAAATAAAAACTCTTCAGATGTAAAAACAAAAAAAAATAAATTGCAACCATATAGTTGGTGTCTGAGTTTTGACTAGTTCAATGAAGTAAACAACCTCTTAACAGGTTTTCAACAGAGAAAAATCTTCTCGTCTTTTGTTCATCTTTACTTCCATTACTCCACTGCCTGTGTCAAGGGGCTATCTTCTGTTTCATTTCAGTTAAAGTTACGAGATTCATTCAAGTCCTTCTCAAAATTAGTTATGGCAACCTATGTTTCGACCTTGACCTCAAAGGCACATACTTCTGAAATTAGGTAACTGTAATTGATGTTTTGATTCAGATGTCATTGCCTGTGTCACAAAAATTTGGTTATTTTAATCTTTGCTGTGACCTTGACCTTTTGTTCCAAGATTTAGGTATTGTAACCTCTGTGTCTTGACCTTGACATTTTGGTCCAGTGACACCAAAATTTTATTTTTGAGACATGTGTTTCAACCTAGAAATTCAGGCTTAGTGCTATCATTATTTGGTAACTGTGACCAGTCCTCATCACTATGATGACGAGAGATTTTGACAGTTGTGGTTTCACACTGCAGAGGTTTTCTGTGATTTTCTTAATTTATCATGTATCTTTGTTTATGTGTAATTTTTGTTAATTATCATACTCAAGCACCTTCATCGATTTTTAATTAAAAGTTAATTTTTCTCAGTGTTAACATTCATGGTGGAAATGTTTTGTCTAGTAAGCTGCTTGGAGTTTTTAAATAAAGTGGCAAACTTTACTACACAGTGGTATACATTTAATCCGGCATTTAGTAATACTGATGTTTCTGTCTGGCTGCTTGTGTTTGATATGAGAACACTTGTTTCAGATGTAAATGTGTTATGTTAATTTTTTTGTACACTTTCTACTTCAATGATGTTGTGTATGTAATGAAATTGTTCTCATTTTGTGAATGTAATGTATATATACCCTTACATCTAATTGACTATATATTATTGTTGTGAATATCCTTTTTTTCAATTTTTGTATGATTTTATAAGTTTATATTACTGAATTTTTGTTTGTATGGGTTTATAATTCTATAATTTCCTTTTTTTTGTACTGCTCCGTGACGGTGTCTGTGTAACGTTTTTTTTGTACTGCTCCGTGACGGTGTCTGTGTAACGGTTTTTTTGTACTGCTCCGTGACGGTGTCTGTGTAACGTTTTTTTTGTACTGCTCCGTGACGGTGTCTGTGTAACGGTTTTTTTGTACTGCTCCGTGACGGTGTCTGTGTAACGTTTTTTTTTGTACTGCTCAGTGACGGTGTCTGTGTAACGTTTTTTTTGTACTGCTCAGTGACGGTGTCTGTGTAACGTTTTTTTTGTACTGCTCCGTGACGGTGTCTGTGTAACGTTTTTTTTGTGCTGCTCAGTGACGGTGTCTGTGTAACAGACACTCTTTATTTGGTATGGTTTCACGATTCTGTACTATTTGATTTTGCTGATAATTGACTGTGATACTATTGATTGCTTAAGTGACGATAAATGAAGTGAATAATAAAAACAAAATCAAAGTTTGCTATGTTGTATGTTATTACTTTTTACACAAAGATTTTTGTAAACATATACAGTTATAACACAACTTAGAGGATGAAAAATCAAGCAGCTGCTGAATTATCTGCCTTTTTCGGTCCCCTGAGACAAAGACTTTTACCTGGCTTCATGCATCATAAACTTTTTAACATTTTCGACTTCTTCTGGAAAACCCTTAAACCATTTTCAATGAAATTTTACAAAAAACTTCCATGGCTAAATGTGCACCACTTTCTTTAATTGTATGGTCACCAAACCTTAGGGGCTTGAGGGGCAGGGTAAAAAAGGGTCAAATGGATTGAAACTTAAAAATTCTTCTCAAATCCAAGGTATGATAGAATTAAGTACTCTTCATGGATGGAAAGGCCTTCAGATGCTTTACCAAAATTGTAAATTTCATGAACCTGGGGAGGGGTTAAGTAATATGAAAATTATGATTTTTAGCAAAATTCATTTATTCTCTTTCAGAAATAGTTCAAGCTTGGTTAGATTTTTATCATTTGTATAGGCTGACAGTGTGATGAGATGCACATATTGACCTTGATTGACCTCCAGGGGCTGATGGGCAGGGCAATATTGGGTCAGATTGATTGAAATTTCAAAGATTGTCAACTGTTCCATCTTGAAAAACACAATCTTAAACTTCTCAAGTTCCAGTGGCAGAAAAAATGATGGATTTGTTAAGTAAGGAAAGTTGACAAAACGTGTTGTTTTTTTGCACTGTCAAAAATTCAATATGTCAGTCATGGTGGTCATTTTGTAACATAATTGCACAATCATGGTTGATTTGAACAACACATATTTTAAACAACATCTCAAATTCCACCTTAGGGATTGAGCTGAAACTTGTCTGAAATGTTTCTGAGATGGTACTAACCAATTTTGCCAAGTAGTACTTGACTGTGCTGAGTAGTAATGGGCTGTGCCGGGTAGTACTGGGCTATACTGAGTACTACTGGACGGTGCTGAGTAGTACTTGACTGCTGAGTAGTACTGGACTGTGCTGAGTAGTACTGGACTGTGCTGAGTACTACTTGACTGTGCTGAGTACTACTGGACTGTGCGGAGTAATACTGGACTGTGCCGGATAGTACTGGACTGTACTGAGTAGTACTTGAATGTACTGTAGTAGTACTGGACTGTACTGAGTAGTACTGGACTGTGCTGAGTAGTACTGGACTGTGCTGAGTAGTACTGGGCTGTACTGAGTAGTACTGGACTGTGCTGAGTAGTACTGGGCTGTACTGAGTAGTACTGGACTGTACTGAGTAGTACTGGACTGTACTGAGTAGTACTGGACTGTGCTGAGTAGTACTGGGCTGTACTGAGTAGTACTGGACTGTACTGAGTAGTACTGGGCTGTACTGAGTAGTACTGGACTGTGCTGAGTAGTACTGGGCTGTACTGAGTAGTACTGGACTGTGCTGAGTAGTACAGGAATGTACTGAGTAGTACTTGACTGTGCTGAGTACTACTGGACTGTGCTGAGTAGTACTGGGCTGTGGCGGGTAGTACTGAACTGTGCTGAGTAGTACTGGGCTGTGCCGGGTAGTACTGGACTGTACTGAGTAGTACTGGACTGTGCTGAGTGGTACTGGACTGTACTGAGTAGTACTTGACTGCTGAGTAGTACTGGACTGTGCTGAGTAGTACTTGACTGCTGAGTAGTACTGGACTGTACTGAGTAGTACTTGACTGCTGAGTAGTACTGGACTGTACTGAGTAGTACTGGACTGTGCTGAGTAGTACTTGACTGCTGAGTAGTACTGGACTGTGCTGACTAGTACTGGGCTGTACTGAGTAGTACTGGGCTGTAGTACTGGACTGTGCTGAGTAGTACTGGACTGTGCTGAGTAGCACTGGACTGTGCTGAGTAGTACAGGACTGTGCTGAGTAGTACTGGGCTGTACTGAGTAGTACTGGGCTGTACTGAGTAGTACTGGAGTAGTACTGGACTGTGCTGAGTACTACTGGACTGTGCCGAAAAGTACTAGACTGTGCTGAGTAGTAATGGGCGGTGCTGAGTAGTACTGGACTGCTGTACTGAGTAGTACTGGGCTGTGCCGGGTAGTACTGGACTGTACTGAGTAGTACTGGACTGTGCTGAGTGGTACTGGACTGTACTGAGTAGTACTTGACTGTACTGAGTAGTATAAGACTGTGCTGAGTAGTACTGGACTGTGCTGAGTGGTTCTGGACTGTACTGAGTAGTACTTGACTGTACTGAGTAGTACTTGACTGTGCTGAGTAGTACTGGACTGTGCTGAGTAGTACTTGAATGTACTGAGTAGTATAAGACTGTACTGAGTAGTACTTGACTGTACTGAGTAGTATAAGACTGTGCTGAGTAGTACTGGACTGTGCTGAGTGGTACTGAACTGTGCTGAGTACTACTTGACTGTGCTGAGTAGTACTTGACTGCTGAGTAGTACTGGGCTGTACTGGACTGTAGTGAGTACTACTGTACTGTACTGAGTAGTACTGGACTGTTCTGAGTACAACTGGACTATGCTGAGTAGTGCTGGACTGTGCTGAGTAGTACTTGACTGCTGAGTAGAACTGGACTGAACTGAGTAGTACTGGACTGTGCTGAGTAATACTGGACTGTGCTGAGTAGTACTCGACTGTTATGAGTAGTACTGGACTGTACTGAGTAGTACTGGACTGTGCTGAGTAGTACTGGACTGTGCTGAGTAGTACTGGACTGTGCTGAGTAGAACTGGGCTGTGTTGAGTAGTACTACACTGTGCGGAGTAGTACTGGGCTGTGCGGAGTAGTACTGGGCTGTACTGAGTTGTACTGGGCTGTGCGGAGTAATACTGGACTGTGCCGGATAGTACTGGACTGTACTGAGTAGTACTGGGCTTTGCGGAGTAATACTGGACTGTGCCGGATAGTACTGGGCTGTGCTGAGTAGTACTGGGCTGTACTGAGTAGTACTGGGCTGTACGGAGTAGTACTGGACTGTGCCGAGTAGTACTGGACTGTACCAGGTAGTACTGGGCTGTACTGAGCAGTACTAGACTGTGCTGAGTGGTACTGGACTGTTATGAGTAGTATTGGACTATGCAGAGTAGTTCTGGGCTTTGTCGGGTAGTACTGGGCTGTACTGAGTAGTGCTGGACTGTGCTGAGTAGTACTTGACTGTACTGAGTAGTACTTGACTGTGCTGAGTAGTACTGGACTGTGCTGAGTAGTACTGGACTGTACTGAGTAGTACTTGACTGTACTGAGTAGTACTTGACTGTGCTGAGTAGTACTGGACTGTGCTGAGTAGTACTGGACTGTACTGAGTAGTACTTGAATGTACTGAGTAGTATAAGACTGTACTGAGTAGTACTTGACTGTACTGAGTAGTATAAGACTGTGCTGAGTAGTACTGGACTGTGCTGAGTGGTACTGAACTGTGCTGAGTACTACTTGACTGTGCTGAGTAGTACTTGACTGCTGAGTAGTACTGGGCTGTACTGGACTGTAGTGAGTACTACTGTACTGTACTGAGTAGTACTGGACTGTTCTGAGTACAACTGGACTATGCTGAGTAGTGCTGGACTGTGCTGAGTAGTACTTGACTGCTGAGTAGAACTGGACTGAACTGAGTAGTACTGGACTGTGCTGAGTAGTACTGGACTGTGCTGAGTAATACTGGACTGTGCTGAGTAGTACTCGACTGTGCTGAGTAGTACTGGACTGTACTGAGTAGTACTGGACTGTGCTGAGTAGTACTGGACTGTGCTGAGTAGTACTGGACTGTGCTGAGTAGAACTGGGCTGTGTTGAGTAGTACTACACTGTGCGGAGTAGTACTGGGCTGTGCGGAGTAGTACTGGGCTGTACTGAGTTGTACTGGGCTGTGCGGAGTAATACTGGACTGTGCCGGATAGTACTGGACTGTACTGAGTAGTACTGGGCTGTGCGGAGTAATACTGGACTGTGCCGGATAGTACTGGGCTGTGCTGAGTAGTACTGGGCTGTACTGAGTAGTACTGGACTGTGCCGAGTAGTACTGGACTGTACCAGGTAGTACTGGGCTGTACTGAGCAGTACTAGACTGTGCTGAGTGGTACTGGACTGTTATGAGTAGTATTGGACTATGCAGAGTAGTTCTGGGCTTTGTCGGGTAGTACTGGGTTGTACTGAGTAGTACTGGACTGTACTGAGTAGTACTGGACTGTACTGAGTAGTACTGGACTGTACTGAGTAGTACTGGACTGTACTGAGTAGTACTGGACTGTGCTGAGTAGTACCTGACTGTTCTGAGTAGTACTGGACTGTGCTGAGTATTACTGGACTGTGCTGAGTAGTACTGGGCTGTACTGAGTAGTATTGGGCTGTACTGGACTGTAGTGAGTACTACTGTACTGTACGGAGTAGTACTGGACTGTTCTGAGTACTACTGGACTATGCTGAGTAGTACTGGACTGTACTGAGTAGTACTTGACTGTGCTGAGTAGTACTTGACTGCTGAGTAGCACTGGCCTGTGCTGAGTAGTACTGGACTGTGCTGAGTAGTACTGGACTGTACTGAGTAGTACTGGACTGTGTTGAGTAGTACTGGACTGTGCTGAGTAGTACTGGACTGTGCTGAGTAGTACTGGACTGCTGAGTAGAACTGAACTGTACTGAGTAGTACTGGACTGTGTTGAGTAGTACTGGACTGTGCTGAGTAGTACTGGACTGTGCTGAGTAGTACTGGACTGTGCTGAGTAGTACTGGACTGTGCTGAGTAGTACTGGACTGTGCCGGATAGTACTGGGCTGTACTGAGTAGTACTGGACTGTGCTGAGTAGTACTGGACTGTGCCGGATAGTACTGGGCTGTACTGAGTAGTACTGGGCTGTGCGGAGTAATACTGGACTGTGCCGGATAGTACTGGACTGTACTGAGTAGTACTGGGCTGTGCGGAGTAATACTGGACTGTGCCGGATAGTACTGGGCTGTGCTGAGTAGTACTGGGCTGTACTGAGTAGTACTGGGCTGTACTGAGTAGTACTGGACTGTGCCGAGTAGTACTGGACTGTACCAGGTAGTACTGGGCTGTACTGAGCAGTACTAGACTGTGCTGAGTGGTACTGGACTGTTATGAGTAGTATTGGACTATGCTGAGTAGTTCTGGGCTTTGTCGGGTAGTACTGGGTTGTACTGAGTAGTGCTGGACTGTACTGAGTAGTACTGGACTAAGCTGAGTAGTTCTGGGCTTTGTCGGGTAGTACTGGGCTGTACTGAGTAGTATGTCACTGTACTGAGTAGTACTGGACCGTTTTGAGTAGTACTGGACTGTGCCGGATAGTACTGGACTGTACTGAGTAGTACTGGACTGTGCTGAGTAGTACTGGACTGTGCCGGATAGTACTGGACTGTACTGAGTAGTACTGGACTGTGCCGGATAGTACTGGACTGTACTGAGTAGTACTGGAGTAGTACTGGACTGTGCTGAGTAGTACTTGACTGCTGAGTAGTACTGGGCTGTACTGAGTAGTACTGGGCTGTACTGGACTGTAGTGAGTACTACTGTACTGTACTGAGTAGTACTGGACTGTGCTGAGTACTACTGGACTGTGCTGAGTAGTACTAGACTGTGCTGAGTAGTAATGGGCTGTGCTGAGTAGTACTGGACTGTGCTGAGTAGTACTGGACTGTTCTGAGTACTACTGGACTGTGCTGAGTAGTACTTGACTGCTGAGTAGCACTGGCCTGTACTGAGTAGTACTGGGCTGTACTGAGTAGTACTGGACTGTACTGAGTGGTACTGGACTGTACTGAGTACTACTGGACTGTGCTGAATAGTACTGGACTGCTGAGTAGAACTGGACTGTACTGAGTAGTACTGGACTGTGTTGAGTAGTACTGGACTGTGCTGAGTAGTACTGGGCTGTACTGAGTAGTACAGGGCTGTGCGGAGTAATACTGGACTGTGCCGGATGGTACTGGACTGTACTGAGTAGTACTGGGCTGTGCGGAGTAATACTGGACTGTGCCGGATAGTACTGGGCTGTGCGGAGTAGTACTGGGCTGTACTGACTAGTACTGGGCTGTACTGAGTAGTACTGGACTGTGCCGAGTAGTACTGGACTGTACCAGGTAGTACTGGGCTGTACTGAGCAGTACTAGACTGTGCTGAGTGGTACTGGACTGTTATGAGTAGTATTGGACTATGCTGAGTAGTTCTGGGCTTTGTCGGGTAGTACTGGGCTGTACTGAGTAGTGCTGGACTGTGCTGAGTGGTACTGGACTGTTATGAGTAGTATTGGACTATGCTGAGTAGTTCTGGGCTTTGTCGGGTAGTACTGGGCTGTACTGAGTAGTGCTGGACTGTGCTGAGTGGTACTGGACTGTACTGAGTAGTACTGGACTAAGCTGAGTAGTTCCGGGCTTTGTCGGGTAGTACTGGGCTGTACTGAGTAGTATGTCACTGTACTGAGTAGTACTGGACTGTGCTGAGTAATACTGGACTGTGCCGGATAGTGCTGGACTGTACTGAGTAGTATTGGACTGTGCCGGATAGTACTGGACTGTACTGTGTAGTACTGGACTGTGCCGGATAGTACTGGACTGTACTGAGTAGTACTGGGCTGTACTGAGTAGTACTGGGCTGTACTGAGTAGTACTGGACTGTGCCGAGTAGTACTGGACTGTACCAGGTAGTACTGGGCTGTACTGAGCAGTACTAGACTGTGCTGAGTGGTACTGGACTGTTATGAGTAGTATTGGACTATGCTGAGTAGTTCTGGGCTTTGTCGGGTAGTACTGGGCTGTACTGAGTAGTGCTGGACTGTGCTGAGTGGTACTGGACTGTACTGAGTAGTACTGGACTAAGCTGAGTAGTTCCGGGCTTTGTCGGGTAGTACTGGGCTGTACTGAGTAGTATGTCACTGTACTGAGTAGTACTGGACCGTTTTGAGTAGTACTGGACTGTGCCGGATAGTACTGGACTGTACTGAGTAGTACTGCACTGTGCTGAGTAGTACTGGACTGTGCTGAGTAGTACTGGACTGTGCTGAGTAGTACTGGACTGTGCCGGATAGTGCTGGACTTTACTGAGTAGTACTGGACTGTCCGGATAGTACTGGACTGTACTGAGTAGTACTGGACTGTGCTGAGTAGTACTGGACTGTACTGAGTAGTACTGGACTGTGCCGGATAGTACTGGACTATGCTGAGTAGTACTGGACTGTGCTGAGTAGTACTGGACTGTGCCGGATAGTACTGGACTGTACTGAGTAGTACTGGACTGTGCTGAGTAATACTGGACTGTGCCGGATAGTGCTGGACTGTACTGAGTAGTATTGGACTGTGCCGGATAGTACTGGACTGTACTGTGTAGTACTGGACTGTGCCGGATAGTACTGGACTGTACTGAGTAGTACTGGACTGTATTGAGTAGTACTGAGCTGAATCGGGCGTTGCCACAGTGTAACTGGTAATGGCGGCATAACTGAATTTCTAATTCGAAACAGAGAGAGAAAGAAAAAACACACTGGGATAGCTTAAATATATAACGAACCATAAGGTCTGATAAGGTTAGTAAAGCAAATAAACTAGGTTAGCTTTGAAAAAAAAACCCAAGTACGTGGCGGGGATGTTGTTAAATTCACCAAATCCACCAAGCATGTGTTTCTACTACGTAGCTACGATCTGTCTAAAAAATGAGCGTAATTTGTATAAATGTAAATATTGATAACAGCATAATAAATATGAAAACTGACAAAAATCGTTATTTTAAAGACAGAAACTTCTGTCAAGTATAGAAGAGGCTATGTTGGACCTTGAAGAACATGTTAAGTCTGACTTGTCTATATCGGTGACACTCGCTGTCCGTCCTTGTGGTGGCATCATTTCAAGATTGGTAATGTCCTTCTGCTGCTATGTGTCCAATACGGTTCTCGGATAATCCAATACCGGTCTGACAAGGTTGTTTTGAGATGTCTATCACCAGGACACTTTTGTGTGTTTTTGCTTCTTATTCGACAAGTTCCGTGTGATGTCCTGTAGAGCCCCGAGCAGCGGTGTCTTTGCATGAGCTTTATTTGTGTGAATCCATGTTGTATAGGGTACAATGTCGTTTCTGCAAACAAGGTTCACAATGTGCTGCTGACATATGTATGCTAACAACTTGCAGCAGATGCATGTTAGTATTCAAGTTTTCGTAATTTCGCATTGAGTTTTGTCGTCTTTTCGTTATGTCGCTGCGAAAAGACAAAATTTAGCGTGGGCGAAAAGACGATAATTATCGTTCTGTCGGGGCGACAAAACGAAACAACGAAATGGCAGAAATCAGCCATCATATGTCAGAGATATAGATGCTGCTTTGTACTCTTCACCTTTCCTGTAGGTGGGGATGACGTTGGCTTTCCTCTAGTCAGATGGAATTTTTCCTGTCTCATTGGATAACATAAGTAATGGTGGAGAGTATAAGAACTGTGGACTAGGAGCTCTCTGGACCACCTGCTATGAAGGGATTTTGTTTCTGTAGAAACTTACTAACTCCTTTTTTCCGTGATCAGGTCGTCAATTGTGGTGAATTCGCTAGCCATATGGAATGTGTTGGCAAACCTCTCTATCTATATCGGTTTTTGTTCAGAAAACCAAATGAAATAGCTCATTTAGTATGACGACTTTTCTTTCTGAGTCTTGTGGATTATACAATTGTTTCTCAGTGGCGAAATGAATTCTTATTTTCCTCCTTCTCTATACATTTTTTTTCAATCTTAGATACCTTGATGTATAATTTCCGTACTCCCAAAACACCGTTGTAAATTTCTATACAGTACAATAAAGTTTCTATCATAAAAAAGCCTTCTATGATTAAAAAATAAGGACCCAGATGTTTGAAAAAATTCGACGTTTAATTTTTGAATAGGAAACCAATTCCCGGAACAGGAAAACGTATGCATTGTACCAATTGTATAGAATACAGCCCCGAGTCTGAAATAATGATTCGATGTGTCGTCTGCTCATTAGCTGTCAAGGAATTGGCATTGGAAAGGACGGACGATTGTTACCGAGACCGCATAGGAATTGAATAATTTGAAAAGAAATGTCTGGAATCTTAGCTCTCAGATAACCGCCTTAATAAAAGATATTGTCCTCGATATTTTGTGCATACAACATTTTGAAAACGTTGTCGGGAAAATATAAGACCATTGTCTCGCGCTGGATGGTTGTACAATAGAACATTGCTGTACTATGAAATAAGAAAAAATCCATAGTCCTGTTATTGTATATTTACAGTCACGGATGATTATGTCATTTTTTCTTCCTGGTCTGTAAATCTCGACTTCTTTGTAAAACCGCATTCTTTGTACAATACTAGACATGGTCAACTACAAGTGTGAATTTTACCAGCACATCTGGACAGATATTTTGACCATATCAAGGGAAGACAATAGACATTAAAACTATCTGCTTAAATATGTTCAAATATGAAAAAAAAAAATGAAAAACAAAATGTACGAGGAGGATAAGATCAGGTGTTCCAGAAGGGTAGACGTCTTCTGTTCCCAAATATAAATATTGTGCAGTCCAAGTAAGTAATGTTGTGTTCCCAAATTAGAACAGAGTAAACAACGACAGAACCATAGTGTATACCAGTGACCATCAAAAACGCCCAATTTCATATCGCTCAAAAGAAATAGAATATTTCCCAATGAGATCAACATGACGACCGTTAAAATTCCCCACTATATTCAGTTTATTAAAAGAAAGACTATAGAAATGAAACACTTATTACCAGTAACTTCCTCGTCCATTTTGTTTTTCCGCAACCCATTGTACAGTATTAAACGATTGGAAATAATATCTGTCGTTTTATTTACTATCTCACAAGTCACCGACATAAGATCAATATTAAGATATCAGGTTTTTCCAGTTACTTGAAACAAAGTATTTCATCCATGTGTCTACGTCTATAACGATTTTATTTACGTAATTGTGTCTAGGTTAGTTTATTGTTGTTTAACGTCTTATCAACCGCCAGGGCCACATAAGGACGTGGCAGGTCTAGATGGTGTAGATTGTTTAATAGACACAAGTGAATAGTACCTTTTAATACAATTTTAAAGTCAGATGCCGAAGAGCCTTACAATGAGTTAGACTGTATCATACAATTGTCGCTTTCTTCCACGACTCGTAAGTGAGGCTAAGGGCCTAAAGTTTGTAGCCTAGGAGACAACTGAGGAAAATCCAAAATGAACGAAAAGACAAGCCATACACTTGTACTTATTGAAATCATAAAATCTATTTCGCTGTCGGGTGTTCTAAAATGATGGGATATATGGAAATTATAAAATTTACTTATTTATTCGTGATAGTGCACCTCCTCATCAAGGTTTTGACTTTTCTGTCCATCACTTTGGATTTTTCTCAGTCGCCACCAGTGCGAAAATATAACAGAACACTTTCGCTGGTTAATGGTTCCTGGTAATTCACCACTGATGACATGATTTTAATAATAAATAAAACGCATTATGTATCTAAGTCATAATGTGTTTGTGTGAAATTAAAATACTTGTAATGTAGAACTGTAAACGATGTTATTTCGCTCTATTGTGTTTTCTAGAGCTACAAAGCCATTATACACTTTCGCTGGTTAATGGTTCCTGGTAATTCACCACTGATGACATGATTTTAATAATAAATAAAACCCATTATGTAAGTAAGTTATAATGAGTTTGTATCAAATTAAAAATACTTGTAATGTAGAACTGTAAACGTTGCTGCTACAAAGCCATTACAACATATGCATTGGCTATAATGCTGTGACAACAATAACTCCGGTGAAATAAGGCATCATTGTCGTAAAATAAAGACTTTTTCTGTAAGATCAGCTTATCATGAAACAAAGCACCGTGAACGACTGACATGACACATCACGCGTGATATTATCTCAAATTTCGTTTCTAAATTTGGTTCGTAAATACATTCAAACATCGTATACTTGTGTCGCTAGGGAAATCTTCTCCTTGGTTAAAAATTAAGTCAGGAGAAATTGAAATTTTGTCTAATTAGTGAAAGCGTGTAAATTACATATTTTGTTTTCAGACACAGAGAAAGTGCTCTCCAGCAATTCTTTCTCCCTAACGCAGACAATCTTTTGTCGTAATTAAAATATACACATTTCATTATGGTATTGGAGTTTCTCATTTATATATATTTTATGAAGATTGTATAAAAGACACCTGAACACATTTCAATGCAAATACAGAATAAGATAAACCAAGGCTTAAAATGAAA